TTCGTCTTCGAGGCTGGTGTTGCCGGCACGGAACTTTTGGAACCAACGTTGTACTGTGCATTCGTAGACACTTTCGTGGCCCCATACTTCGTTGATATTTCGAGCGGTTTGAGAGGCGGTCCGACCCAGTTGGAACTCATAGAAGTAAATTTGAGGAAAGTTGCGATTAGACATCTGAAAATAAAAAGCACGTTTTTTCGAAATTAAGCGATTTGAATGAAATTTCACATACATATTTAAAAATCGCAAAGAATAAGCTTTCGAACAATGTATAATACCCCATGGAAAAGGCTCCATTTTCTTCAAAAAAATAGTGTTGAGACTAGTAAAACAAAAAACCTGCATTTTTTTTGCACCAACCTAATAGTAGGATGTCACGCAGCTATTCTGCGTGACAGACCCTAGCTTGCGGATAGAGTAAGGAATCATAGGTCAAAGATCACTGGTATTTGCACAGAGACGCATGTGAATTCAGGGGAGGGGAGGAACTCTGTTTTCTAGATTTATGGATCTACCAGTAGGTTAGCCCGGCTGACGCCGGCCTCTCCACATTTTCGTATTGAATTTGCCCCGCCGCCTGCATTCCCTTCACATTTGAACGATCCGCTAAAGGAGAATATGTAGAAGGAATTGGTTTTCATCAATCACATACAAACACTCCTGCACACTTCGTGCAGGCCCAGCCCGCCATGAGAGAAGGCCTATTCATGACCTGTGCGGTTAAGTAAAGCGGTTCATTCAAGACGACTTACTGAGATTTGACTTAGTATTTTTACTCAAATTGCGCTCATTTCACACCCGTTCCACTCTCCCCTCCTCAACAGTCTTCTACCTCGCTCCGCTTCCCTTGGCTTTCGTCCTAATGAAAAAGTTAACTGGAGGTGGTGTAGTGGCAAGTAGTGCACTTCTGTGTGAAGTCCCGGATCGTTGTCCGCCTTGGCCAACCAAGCCTTCCATCCCTCCGGGAATGATCGCCCCACGACTTTACCCTTCATTCTTGCATGAAAAGCTGTAATAATCCCCTAACTCGCCACTCCTTCGAAATAGAAGATACTTTTCTGTCCACAAATTAGACACAGGATGTATAGGTCCTGTGTCCAGCTTTCTGTCTGTCTGTCTGTCTGTTCGGAGCATCTTTTCCTTGAGTGTACGAGCGAACTAGAGCATCTACAATGGCAGAGGACACGAGTCGACACCCTCGACTTCATCCATGCCGCGTTTATTCGAGCCTTAACAGCGTGATCCACACTACGGTGAACAGACAGATGCTCTCCAGATATCAGGAGTCCAGCATTCGGAACACAAATTTGAGATCAGTGTTCGAAACCGCCTACGGCGGTAGACATCTCATCTTGAATGGCCACTGCGACCCAATATCCTTCCCTTGTCGATTCTGCGTTCCATTTCTGCAAAACTGTATTGGTATCAGAATTTGTTGGGGCTTAGCTCGCCTCATAGAATAATCCAGCCACGCGGTTAACTTGATATCTTGATCTTGAACAAATTCCGACTTGAGGTGACTTAAATTGACCTCGATAAGAGTGGAGGATAAGTGAAATATTCACATAGGACAACTTGAGATGACTGACTGCTTTCATCTACCCTGGAGACAGCGATGCCAACTGGAGTCCTAAAGAAAGTCTCTTCAACGACGCTCTACTTGAATTGTCGAGATGACTTTACTTGAGCTCGCGATAAGGAACTAGATAACGTGAATATTTACTTGAGTTAAAGGCACCGTTCACGATAAAAAAGTTATTGAGTTCTTACCTTATTAATACTCAGCGGCCCCCATGGGTTGTAGAAGGGACCCTCTCACTCACCCAATCTCGACGTCCAGGGCATAGTGGCAGCCCCGTTGTTGCCGTCGTTCGCGTTTCCGCCCCTCGATCGATGTCCCGTTAGACGAGTGTCGAGACAATACAGATTGCTATTATTCGTTCTAGGACCCACGCACAAAAAGCTAATCGCCGAGTGATGAGGCGATGTTTTTCTCCCATTCTTCTTTCCTCTGTTTTTCTTTGTGCTGCTGCGATCCCTTATTTAATTTCCTACTACTAGAGGCTGAAAAAGTTGAGCTACTTTTGTTGTTACCAGGGTTTTTTAAATTTATGCTTATAAGTGAATGAATTTTTGCTTACCATTGTCTGTTAGGCACCAGGACCCACACACGCGCAGTGAAACACACTATTTAGCCCGGACGCCCTACCCTTCGTCATTTTTCTGGTTTCATTCACGTCCAGCCCCCTTTTTAACGTTTTTTCGAGGCCTTTTTTCACAATGAAAACACCGATGCACGCAGTTTCTTCACCTCAGTCGCACTAGTTTCGATCTTCTCTTTCGTTTTTATCATAATCTGGATTACCCAAAATTATGTGAACGGTGCCTTTAAGGCAACAGGTTAAGTGGGGGGGGGGGGGGGGGGGGGCNGGGGGGGGGGGGGGGGGGGGGGAGCTCAGCCGGTGCTTGAGACGGATGAGACGAATATCGAAACAATGTACGCGGGACTTGGCCTTTTATGGCTGCCTTGGGCCCGCCAGATTATTGCGCAAATCACGTCTATAGTCTAATAGACCCGATCAAAACTAAACGACAGATTTAGAAAACGAGGGGTAAGCAAAATATAACGAAAATAATAGAAGAGGTTGCATCCGCGGCAATTGGGAACAGAGTTGCGGAACCGTTTTCTCCCTATGTCATAAGATTGTGTCGAACAGAGCGAACTGAGCAGTTATGCTGCTGTGCAATGGTGGCCGAGTTGGTAGAGGGGTGAACTTAAAGTCAAGAAATAAAGGTTCGAAGCTTCGGTCAGGTGCTCGTTTTGCTTTTTCGTCAAATGTGTCTTACACCCTTCAAATCATTTTTGCGCTTCATATTGTCTATCTTCAACCTTCCATTCGAGGAACTCGAGGAGAACGGTAATCCAGGAAGATATTTATAATACTTTGCCATCATTGGTCGAGTAAAGGTGCCCATCCATCCCGAATACTCTGTTGTTAGAAATTTAGGGTAACCTCCTCTACTTCCGGAAGAGGGCGTTAGGTTGACTCTTTCCACCAGAGCCCTCCTTCTGGGAATACCAACCTAACTTTGGAAACGTGAACCGGCATTTTCGAGAATATACTTACTTTGAGCAATAAGTGATCATTTATTACACATATGATCATCCAACCATATATAACGCGCTGGGTGTGCGGGTGTGTCTGTATGTGTCGAGGTGTGGGTGAGGGTGTGTTTGGGTGTGGGTGTGGATGTGTGTGTGGAAATTCGGGCACCAGGATGGGAGCACTCATGACTGTGGAAGGACTGGACTCTGCCTACGGAATGCAAGGCGTGCACGAAATAAATGTTTGACTAGACCTGGAGCATTCAAGTTTGAAAAGAGTACAGTCGACAGTATTGGTAACCGATAATTAGCGACAGGCTTCTTCGTCGG